GTAACTAAGCGTATATGTATATCATGCCAGGCGACGTAGAAGAATACGAGTAAGAGTGGTAACTAAGCGTATATGTACCACGCGTATGTAGTGCATACATTCAAATGTATTTGCAGCGTACATATCTAATTCGCATGGAGTATCCCTGATCTTTACTGTTGGGTCATATATAGGGCGATCCAATTATATTTATATTCTTGTCGGTAACACTCCCTCCCCCGTAAACAAGTTATGAATCACGCGTTTACTCCTTCTTCAGTGCCGACGTCTAATACCGCAATCTTTGCAACTGGTCGATGAAGTATTCCGGATTTTGTTTGAACCATCACGCTCCGTACTTGTCCATCTTTTGCTTTTATGGCGTCCACAATTTTTCCTTTGGGCCAGCAATTTCGCGGCAAATCGCGATCGACTATCACTACAACATCGCCAATACGCACAGGGGGTATTTTGTTGAACCACTTACTACGACGTGAGATGATAGGTACATATTCCTTGACCCAACGATGCCAAAACCGGTCGGCGAATTGTTGGGTCAGACGCCAACGCTGTCTCAAACTACAGGTATCGGTACAAATAGGCTTGTATCCATCGGACGATCCAAGTAGTAGGTGATTCGGTGTTAGCGCTTCATCATCACAGCTGTCCAGTGATACGTACGTAAGCGGTCGCGCATTCATGATAAATTCCACTTGATGTAAAGCGCTTAGCAGACTCTCATCGCTAAAACTTGTAGAAGGAAGTATCTCAAAAAGTACATTTTTTACTGACCTCACTAGTCGTTCCCATACTCCTCCCATATGAGGAGCACTTGGTGGGTTGAATTGCCATTTTATTTGTTCGAAGGAAGATATAATGTCCGGGAAATTGACGTTCTTTAAACAAATTATTTTTTCAGATGCTTTAAAATTAGTACCGTTGTCCGAGAAAATTTCTCTCGGATATCCGCGACGTGAAACGAAGTTTTGTATTGCCATGATACACGAACTTGTATCTAAACTGTGCGCGATCTCGATGTGTACTGCCCGAAGAGTTAGGCATGTAAACAACACGCCCCATCTTTTTTCGCGCCTCCTCCCAACGGTAACGAGTAGTGGTCCAAAGTAGTCGATGCCGACATATGTAAATGGCCTTTCGAAAGCGGCGAGTCTTGCGGCGGGTAGTGCTGCCATTTGTGGTGCTTGTGGAGCCGCAACAGCGTTTTTACATTTCTGACAACTCTGGCGAACTCTCCGGTATAATACCCTTAGCCGGCTTATATGTTATCGCCCACGCAATTGATTTATTAAAGACTCGTGCATCTGATGATGAAAACGTTCGTGAGCCCAGCGCACTATTAAAAAAAGTAATGTAGTTGCTATTCGGCAATACTATGATGTCTTCGTGATTGTTTAAATGCTCAGCGCGGCCTTTGCTCCTGATTATGTCATCTGCGTCTAAATAAACATTGACTGAAATTAATTTCCTGGACTTTTCGATAGGCTTACCGTGTTTCAGCAAGTTTCTTTCACTACTAAATTCAGAGTCCTGTGCATACCTGATCAGAAAGCGCTGAGCCTGTTGAATCTGATCGAAACTGATGGTAGTTTTTGGTTTTTTACCTGTTGCAAGTGCGTGCAGTCTGTCAATATATAGTAAAAACATAGCTACCTGACCACCAAACTCTAGATGTTATACCAATGCGATGTACGTTGCTCACCATGTTAGCTAGTCGGACCCCAATCACTGCAGTCTGCAGCTCCAACCTGGGGATCGATAGCGGTTTCAGTGGCGCGACTTTTGATTCCGCGCCCACGAGAGCTACTGTAACGTCGTTGCCCCTTTTCGCTCGTAAGTAGCAAACGGCTGCGTAAGCGCTCGCTCCAGCATCAACGAAGGTATCAAGTTGGACTTCGTCAGCATCTTTTAGCAGCAAGGAATAGCACCGGGGAATTTCAACTGCTGTTATAAATGGCATAACATCTTTCCATTGGCACCATTTGTCATGCAGATTGTCAGTGAGCCAATGGTATAGCAACTTACAAATCCCAATGGATCGAAGATAGACATCAAGACTTGAAGAAGCTCCCTCTTCGTAGGGATAAACGGTTGATTAATCACGTCGCGACGGAGTCTTGCAAATCGGCAAATATATTTAAAGCTGTCACATTTGGGATCCCAAAACATTCCAAGAACCTTCGTCGTTGAGCCCCATTCCTTACCAGTTTGAACCAAAGAACCATTTTCTTCGAGTTGCTCTACAACGGCTCGTGAATTCGATGACCAACCACGAATGTTGAACCCAGCGTTGCTGTGAATTTTCTGAACTTGTCGAGCCAGAGTCAAAGTGGACTCTGAATCATCTTCGCTGTCGATATAGTCGTCTACGTAGTGGTATTTCTTAACTGCTTCCACAGCACGGGGAAATTTGTCAGTGTAACTATCCGCGTTCTTATCACGAATAAAATGTGCGATACATGGCGCGCAATTAAGTCCAAATGTCAATGCTCGCATAACATAAACACTGGGTATCTGTTGCTCATCGCCTTCATCATACCATAAAAATCTCTGGACGTGCATGTCACTCTCCCGGATGTTAATGCGGTGGAACATCTCTGCAATATCGCCGCATATCGCTACTCTGCCGACTCTAAATGACAACAAAATTTCAACTAGTGAATTGAGCGAGTCTGGGCCGCTTAGTAGAAAATCGTTAAGCGAAACTCCATTCACCTTCGCAGCCGCGTCCCACACCATTCGAACTTTACTAGGCTTGTTCGGATTGCTTACAATAAAAATTGGCAAATACCATATTTTTCCACCACGTGCTGCAACCTCCTCTTCCGTGAGCTTCTTGGCGTATCCTTTAGCCAGTAAATTATCGATCTGTGATTGTATGGTATATTTTAGATTAGGATCTTTAATGAACTTTTTTCGCAAACATTTCAGTCGTTGATGAGCGTAAGAATAGCTGTCTGGTAGCGAGACATTAAGATCGCGCCACATTAGCCCAATTTCATAACGATTGCCAATCTTTTGGTACGTGTCATTCATAATACTTACGGCTTTTGCGTCCTCTTTCGACATTACTTGTGTTGGTTTAGGAGATTCTATCTTAAAGAAATCTTTTACCATTTCCTGCAGTTCAGCGTAACCTTTTCGGCAATCGCAGGTGTGGACATTAAGCTAGCATTCTTCCGTACAACCAACGTCGCATCCCTGCAGCGCCCACCCCAAGTGAGTTTTCGAAGCTATGGGTTGTGACCAAGTTCCTTCTCTTATTTTGAGAGGAACCGCGAGCTTCCAGTTATCAACGCCGATTAACATCGATGGTTTAACGTTCTCATATGAGGCGATCGGTAGACCTGCTAGATGTGGATACATTTTCTGCAACTCAAACGCGTCGATCGATTGTGCCGGTAGATCGACGTCGTCGACTTTGTGAATGTTATTCAAAATATACCTTCGCTTATTTGTCATACTTGAAATTTCAATAGCAGCCCTTACAGAGTTCTTCTCAACGCGCGTAGTGTTTCCTGTCCATCGCAGACATAAAGGGTCTTGTTCACCAACCAAGTCGAGTTCATCAAATATCTTTCTTTCCATTAACGTGACGGATGAGCCCTCGTCTAAAAATGCAAATATTTTTATTGTTTTGATTTTGGAATGAATATAAATTGGCACGATTCGGAAAAGAGGTTGGTTTCTTTCGTTGCCGTGGGTGTTTACCGTGGCATCTGAGAATTCAATCGCAGTACTTACTGGTTTACTTTGGTTCATTACCGATTTATGGAGCAAAGGATGATGTTTGACTGTACATCCATCTTTACCGCAGATCCTGTTTAAGTAACATTTGCGTCTATGTGGGTTGAGGCATTGGCGACAAAGGTTGTTAGCCTTCACTGCTTCCCACTTGCGTTGTAGTGAAAAATTTTTAAAGACTTCACATTGCGCTACTTTGTGTTCGTAGCTCTTGCAAACTTTACACTGCTTGTTTTGGTCTGCTCTTTGTTCTGCTTGCATACGTTCTCGGGTCATATCGACGGTATGAGTGTTGACCATGCGCGTATTAGTTGGCGCTAAGCTGACTACGGTACTTGCGGCTTCAGCTAAGCTGTACAACCACTCACTAAATTGCTTCACTACAGGTATTTCATCGTTTTTAGGGTGAACTGCCCAGCTTAACTTTTGATTGTTTGGAAGCTTGTGCACCAGCTCCTTAACCAACAGTGGGTTATGTAAATGCATATACATTTGGCATCCTTCCATGGTAGTACAAATATTTCGCACACAAAGTGCAAACTCAATAAGAGCCTCTAATTTGTCTTTCACCGGCGGAAGACCACGAGCTCGATTCACCGCCTGCTCCAGAATATACTCCGGTCGACCGAAACACATCTTGAGGGTTTTGATAATTTCAGGTACCATGGATGGCATAAACAGTTTACTCTTTACCATCTCACGCGCTTTACCTTTAAGGCTCGCTTGTAGTCGTATCAAATTCTCAGCTTCGGTGTACCCGGCGACAGTGGCGCTGTTTTCAAAGCTGCTAATGAAAAGCGGCCACTCGTCCGGATCTCCGTTAAAAGTCGGGAGCTGCTTGGGGATAGCTTGTCTTGCGGCCAATTGTGACGGTGAAGAACTGTTGGTCACAGTAAAAAATGAATTGTTGGTTGGAAGTAACTCGTCATACTGAGATAGAATTTTGTACTTGTTATCCAAGTACTGTTGCTGAATCCTCATCTCTTCCTCCAAACGTTCTAGCTGGAGCTTTCTGTGTACCTCCTGATTGTAAGGCGCCCGTGCCAAATGGACATTTGGTGCACCTTGCCCTTCAACTATTTTCGGTTCGCGAGACATGGTATCTGCTGAAGAATATGCTATGTTACTAGATACGACTTCTTTTAAAGATGCCGTTGCCGGGAGCGTTGAATAACGCCCTGTTGTCATCGTGGGAAATTGGCGGCCCTGCAATGAGGCATGTGGTGCAGTAGGTTGGAAATCCCAGCATGCAGATGTTAAATTTGACAGCGATGAGTTTGTGGCGGTGGCAGGTAGCATAGTCGGAAACGTAATTGGTACTGGCATATTCGTGGCGGTTGTTAAAGACGCAGCCGTTGTGGTTGCAGCAACCACATTTTGTTGCGGATTGCGCGGGAAATCTGCTTTCCCTGCTGTTGTCGAGACCGATGTTGGAAAATGCACTTGCCGTTTACTTTGGTTGGTAGTTGGCGATGACGATGCTGTCGGTTGCGCGTTCGCAGTTGACCCGCCGTGCCTACAAATCTCGCAGCTCCAGCTTATGTCAGCCACATTGCTGTCGACTCCAACGCAATGAAAGTGATACCATTTCATCGTTGTCTACTCCGTCACATTTAGGGCAATTATGATCTGAATTCTTACCGCCCGTACCAAACATTTGCGCGATTAAATCGTTCGAATTCGGTTTAAAGAAAAAAAAAATTGATTTTTAAGAAATGTTGCGCTTAGTACTTTGCGCTGCCGTTTAATTAAAACACAAATTTTTTTAGCATGTATTATAGTGCTTAAAAATCAATTGTATTCTCGCCTTCACTTTTACAACTGTGTCTTATGACATTGATTCGACCTATATTTATAATGAGAATAACTAAGGAATCTGGCCTGACATAACAGTTAACTCGTCTCACATTTAACAATAGGCACTGAGTAAATACTTAACGTTAAAGCATAAAGCAAAAGTACATATGTACGTAAATGTAACAAGTAACTAAGCGTATATGTATATCATGCCAGGCGACGTAGAAGAATACGAGTAAGAGTGGTAACTAAGCGTATATGTATATCATGCCAGGCGACGTAGAAGAATAC